AAGTCTCGTCAATGGCAAACATGCAAAGTAAGGCAGAAGGTCAAGGGTGAGGTGAGATAAAGCTAATGTTTGCTATCTAGGGGGTGTTTGTTTCCAGGGACTTATTGGTTTAGGGACATAAAAAGTCCCTATAAGTCCCACCTAAACCAAACACAAGGGACTTATTGGGACTTATTGTGGTGATTTGGGACTTATCAAATAAGACTCTCAGGGAGGAGCTTATTGGGGCTTATTCGCTCCAGGCTCGTTCCCCGCACGCCCCGTCGCCGCCCCGCCTCGGTTCGCCGCCCCGCCTCTCGCCCCGTCGCCGCCCCACCTCGGTTCGCCGCCCCGCCTCTCGCCCCGTCGTCGCCCCCACGCCGCCCCGCCTCTCGCCCTATCGCCGCCGCGCCTCTCGCCCCATCGCCGCCCCGCCTCTCGCCCCGTCGCCGCCCCGCCTCGGTTCGTTCTGCGTCGATTCGTTGCAATGGTGCCTCCAATCGCCGGACAGGCCCTCTCCTGAGCCTCGTTGCAGCGGTGCAACATGGACTTATAAGTCCCTATAAACAAACAGGTAGGGACTCGGGACTTATAAGTCCCTGTAAACAAACAGGTAGGGACTTATGACTTATAAGTTGGGACTTAAAAAAGTCCTAGGACTTATGAAACAAACAGGGCCCTAAACACAAAACTCTACCGACCTGGTTTATTAATTTTCTAACCCAAAGAAAGTTTAGTGTAAACACGTTTTTCACAAAAAAAGATAGCGAAACTGGTTGTTCTAGAAATCAGCTAAAGACTCGTTTTCTACAATTTTACAATGTATCCTCACAATCCAAATAACCATTGAACAATTTTACAGAACAACCTGACTGAGTTAAAGTATCCAAACAGGGATATGAGACTTGCCTGCTCCCCTTCCGTGTGCCCATCCGTGCTCCCGCATACGTGGCTTGATTTGATTGGAACAAAATAAGACTCGGCCCCACCCCCTTAAAATCAGGGGGGAGATGATTAGATTAGAAAGAAAAAAAGAAAAAAGACAGCCGTTAGATGAGGTGAGAGCACGGATGGGAGCATGAAAAGGGAGCAGGCAAGCCGGATCCTCCAAACAGGCCCAGGGTTGCCCCACGTGTAGCTCACAAAAGTGCCGACGTGGACATTTATGCAGGCTGGCCCGCACTCTGGCGTGGACGCAGAAAGTGCCCCTCGGTGGCACCGTAATTACATGAAAACTGCCACCGGGTGATATACCCTCCGCACCTGAGGAAATCCGTCTCTCCCACCCCACCCGCATCTCATTCCCCACCGAGCGGCTAGGGTTTCCTCCCCCGCCGCCGCCCGCCGCCCGCCGCCGGCCAGACGCCGCCCCGCCCGTCCCCGCATCTCTCTGTCGCCACCACTCCCTCCCACCGCCCGTCCCCGCCAGATCGTCCACCTCGCCGCCAGCCAGCCTCGTACGTCCACCTTGCTGTCGGCTGAGACAAGTACCCCCCTCGAGTCGGCAGAAGCTCTCCACTCGCGCGCCTCCTTCCTTCCTTCCTTCCCCGACGGCAGCACCAACCATCTCCGCCTTCGCCGCCCAGCAGCAACTGCCGCAGCCTCCGCCTTCCCCGACGACGAGAAGCAAAGGTGAGGATGGTAACAGAGAATCTCCGCCGCCCGACCCCTCTCATTTCTCCGTGCCGCGCGTTTAGATCCAGTTTCTATACTCTGATGTGCATCTCCATCATGGATAAAGCCGGTAGAATTTTCGCAAAGTAGCAGGGAGAAAGATGGGCTGTGTGGAGCAGTGGAGGGAACTACTACATGCATTTGTTTGTGGTACGAGTCCAAAGGTTATATA